AGATTGAGTGCTTCAACAGAGAGGTGGACCTGCAGCCACACGCTGACCTCTTCGACCCCTAATCCCCTCATCTGACAAATTCACTTTCTGGGGAAAGGGAGGGGAGGTTCACTTTACAATCACTAACGTCCACTATCCAATTACCCACTCAAAACTGTCCATTTCATATGTTAGAATGAGGGATTTGCTGTTGAGGGATGGAGAGGATTTAGCTCACAGCCAGGAAGAAATATCACAGCCTAATGAGAGATCCTTTGCCCAACATACCATGACTGTAAATAGTACTAGCGCCCTGAGAAAGCTGAATCGCTGTTGTGTAAAACAGCAATGCTAAAGCCTCAGATGTGTCAAAACATTCCTGTAAAGAAAAATATTTTCTCTTTATTATAAAATAGAAGGTGAGCAGAAATTCTAAGCTTATATTTAGGGTACAAGGGTACCTACTGTAGTGGTGAAGCTCCATGCTGTGAAGCTTGTTCTACTGTAATTCCAGTGCCTAGCAGACATATTGAGCTGAATCGTAATGAAGTTTATCAGTGAGGCTGAAAGTGATCAAACGGAAGGCTCATTTCCAGCCGTGTGCATCTGGAAAGGCAGATCAGCCCTCAGTCAGCCTTTGTCAATCTATCGACCCCCGCTGTGTGGATCAGGGCTGAGGATCTCTCATGTGCTGCAGTTTTCTTTTCAGCCATTCTGAAGTGATTAACTGACACGCCGGTGCTTCAAGTCACCCCATTTTGGGAGGGTTAGGGAATCAGGGTATGATGGAGGGTTTATTATTAGAGGTTCTAATGTGTGGGATCGGTTTGGTGTGTTAAACCCATGCTTGCTGAGCGTGTGCTGGTACAAAGGTGTGGCAGAAGCAGAATGAATTTGCTTATATCACCCCTGTACTTGCTAGATCCGTATCGTTCGGTATTACGGTCGTATTTTAACTCTATATTGGGGTGTGTGTCATTCTATGCATGTTTACTTCAACTAATCACACACAGCAGGAGAGCAGCAGTGTCTTGTGTGTAGATACACACATTTGAGCTTTTGTCTACAAGACAAGCCTTAAAAGTAATGTTTTGAAACAATTACGGCGCTACTAAAGGAGCAAAGGAAAGCACTTCCAAAGAAACCCTGACACTGCTGGTCTCCTCTGTGATGCAATATACTGTACCGGTGTTATTACACTACGTGGTTAGCAGCTGTTTCACCAAGCCACTCTTTTGTCTGAGTTACTATGGAGATTTATGAGATACATAGTGCTAATGTTGCTATGGGCCTTTTTAGTGTTCCTTTGGAGATTTATAACTTTGCCTTTATGTCTCTTGACACTTCTGTACCTTGTCAGTATGCAAGTGCAGTTTTACTCAAGGCCACCCTGTTGTGAACAAACTCTGAAAGGACGTTGCTGAGATGTAGATCCGTGCTAAACCGACAAGCAAAGAGAAACCGACTACTCACTAATAGGTGACAGAGCCTCAGAGGTAAGCAGTCACTTCACGAGTGCTGAAACACAAACTCTGATGTGCAGCAGAGACACACACACACACACTCATTTAGCTGGTGGTGTTGCTGTTAGTCGGATTCTACACAGCAGCTGTCCTTAAAGGGTACAGGGCTATGTAACACTTATATAATGTGTAGTTCAAAGTAGAGGCCATTTTTAGCACATACTATCCGCATGTGTTAAGATGTCTTATCAAGTTCTATTTATGCTAACTGAAATGCCTTTCACCAAACTGGAACAACCAAGAAAGAAATCGCAAGAGTTCAATCTATTTTTCATATTGGAAAAACGTGGTTTATCTTTGCAAATTCTATTTTTCTAATGCTGTGAAATCAATTAAATTGGAGCCAGATGATAGTATTCCTCAGGCGAAGCAGATTCTCTCCCGTGAGAGATATTTGGCTGCCGCTGCAGAGTCTTGGCAGAGAGCAGGGGCACCCCGGCAGAGCCAAGCGCCAGTGTTGGTGAAAGGATATGAAGAGTTGTTTGTCTATGTAAGTGTAAAGGGCCAGTAAGGGTCTACTGAGTAACATAAAGGCACTGGAGGGCCACCGTGTAAAACTCAAGTCATTTGGGCCAATGGTTTTCGAAGACTTTTGGTCATAGATGAGCACTATGAATCTGGCTTTTGCTCCTCATCATAGAGGACCCTAGTGAGGCCCTCCAGAGGCAGTTCCTGATGTTATGTGAACCCCCTCTGGCCCGCACAGCTGTGCTCGTGGAGCTGAAGTTAGAGGAATAAAACAGAGTTTGGTGGAAAGATTTACGACATGAATATGTCAATAATAATCTTACATTTGTGGCTGCAATGCTATTCAGATAGGAGGGATAGACTTTTTCGTTTTGTTTTGCTGAATGCAAACAGGCCTGGGTTTTCTAAAAGGTCAGACTTTCAAAGAAAAGCACTTTTTTAAACATTGTCTTTGGTGGCAACCTATTATTATTATTAGATAAATATTCTGACTTTCAGCGGTCACTGAAGGCTTGTTCCTGACCAAAACGTTTTACATTGTCCAGCCCCTAAATCTGGTCATTTTTAATAATTAACCAGAGGATGAATATTCAGACAGCACATGTCTTGTGTTCTCAGGTATCTAGTTGAGTTGGCAACACCAGCATTGAAGTTTTATTTCAAACGTCCATCACAACTGGCCTACATTTAGTGCATTATGTTGTGGATGAATGCTTCGGGGGCAAGAGTAAAATTAGGACAAGCTAAAGGGCTAAATTATTTCCAATTGCTGCTGGTTGGCTGGGGACAAGCCTGAAAATTGAAATAGCTAAAAATAGATATTATAAGCTAAAAGTTATTTGCACAAAGCTAAACATGCACCCCTAAGGTCTTATATTGGCGTTTTGGGGAAACATTGGACCTTTTTGACCCAGAGGGAAAATGTGGAATTCATATAGATTCCCCAGTCTTTACCTCAGTTTCAATATTATTAACTGAAAATGAATATTACCTCAATATCCAGTAATTGGAGTTCATGATAACGTTGATATCTTCGTAACTGAACAAGATTTCAGATGGTTCTACTTGAAAAGTGCCAAAACTCTCAAAAATAACTTTTGTTTTTGGTTATATTTTTGTTTAAAGGGGTTAAACAAAAGTATGTGAAAAATCTAAATTTGAGTGTCGTTTGCACAAAACTACTGTAACTCGTGTTTTCTCCTGTGACTGATGCTTTTTTTCTAATATATATGTTGTATTTATGACTAAATAACATTAAAATATTGATAAGCTATTTCCGTTGATGAGTTATTTTTATTATCGGTTATTCGCAGTAGTCTGCTCAGTAAAACAATTCAGGCAAACAATGTCTTCTGACAGAAACAGCCTGGAAGAGAAGTGTGTTTGTGTGTGTAAGGGTATCAAATCAGCAGTGGATTTGTCACATGGTGATAACATCTTTTAGGATGCCAAGCCCAGTTTAAGCACTAATTTCAGCGGCCTGCAACAACAGAAGCTATTTATAACTTAGTATGTGTATCTGTAATAGTCGAGTACTGTTTTGTGTGTCAAATCTACCACACACATCCTTTTCCTGGCCTTTACCTTGGGTCCCTGCCCAGCCCACCTTCCAAAATACTTGTATTCGATCCACTGAGACTCTACTTTAACGCACCCCGAGGATCTACACATGCTTCCCAGCCCATCCTCGGCCGTTTATACAACCTGCACTCGGCTCCAAAGTGGGTCTAAACAATGTGCTCACCCTCTTGCAGATACAATACCCACATTTCTTTTAACTTACATCAGGCTCCCTTCATCTCTCCCTGGAGACGGTACCCACCCTTTGCACACATAGCAGCCATTGTTTCTCACTGGCCAGTGGGACGAGTTCAAGGTTTCATTTCTGATGCACTGACTGGTTATGACTGCATCATGTAAACCTTACCAAGGTCTGTTTGTCTCCCATGACTCCTCATAGTGGAGTTAAGAGATTTTAACACTGGCTGCATGTATCTGTCTGCATTTGAAAAGTGGGATGAACATTTGTTTAAGAGTAAAAAAAAATTTTTTTTCAGTGCATGCATTCCCTGGGAATCAAACCCATGACCTTGGTATTGCTAGCATCATGCAGCACCATGTTTGGGCTACATTGAATGTGGCTGTTGGTCATCTCTGTCTTTTGATCACTGCCAGGGACTGATGTGTAGGATGGACGGGAATATTCCCTTCTGTTGCACACACACTGAGGCCAGAGAGACCTTTCATTTGGTAGTCACTTTATGTCCCTGATACTTGCGGTGCATAAGAACAGTTGAGGATACGGACTCTTTGTGTCAACAAGCAAATATAACACTCACACATGTACACACACATACATACAGTGACATAAATGTCATTAAGAAACGTCTTGTTTCAAAAATATGAGTGGATATTATCACACTTTGACCTGGATATGTTTCTTACATATGTTTTTGTCCTTTTCTTTCCTCCTCTTTTCGTCCACACTGCAAGACAAAGTGCCCAGTTCCAGTTCTGCTGAAATGTGATACACACTACACTACTAAAATTAATATTACACTACACTACACATATAATGTTATTACACAATTATTTTTTTCTATTTGAATATATTTTCAAATTTAATTTATTCATGTAAAGGCCAAGCTTAATTTTCAGCTGCCATTACTGCAGCTTTCAATCTCACAAAGTCCTTCAGAATTCATTTCATCAGAAAAATTATTTCCAGGATTTTGTGATGAATAGAAAGTACAGTTGAATGCATTTGATTAATTTGATTTGCATTTGATTAATGATTTAATGCAAACATATTCATCATTGTTTTCTTCTTTCAGGCATAAAACTAATTAAATTTAATATTTTTAATTAAATATAATAAATTGAAAGATTTGTACTCTAATTATTTTACAAAGTTTGTCTTGTTAATTTATTTTGTCTTAAATATGTTTTCATATCTCTACAAATTATTATTATTATTAGTTATTTTATTTATTTTTTGCAGTGTTGGTAAACAACATTGAACTGCAGTGTGAACGTAGCCCTTTTGTCCTCTAGACAAAAGTCTGTTCTGTTCACTGTTCATTCTTCAGGTTAAGGACATCAAAGGTCATGAGAACATGCATGTCATTGCTTTCTTTAGTGACAGCAGCGAGCTTGAGTTGTGTGGCATTTCCAGTGACAGCCTCACCTTCCCAAACTCTGCTCTTATTCATCTTCAGATCTGTCCGTTTCTCTCCCACGACACACACTCTTTGCGCACATGGTACCCGCACTCGAAAACTTTCTGAACTCTGGGGAGCCAGTGCACCTGTGCGGGGCTCCAGCAGCACACACCCTCTTCCCCATGCTGAATACACACATGGAAACGGATCTCCGGGCTTTTCACACACACTCCTGATTATAAAGTCACACAGTGACATGTAGTCCTGCTGAGGCGGTTTGCGTCCATAAATACCTAGACGATAGACTCCCGCTCTGGGTGCGTGCACACTCACGGTTACCTTACTTGTATCTGTAAATGTCAAGAGTACATACCGGGACAGAGAAAAATGAGCCTGCTCATGCAGCTCAGCGCAGAGGGCCGTGTGTATTTGCAGGTCTGGTGAAGCGCAGTGGAAGGTAATGTTGCACTGGCCCTGGGGTGCATTTACTATCGCCCCTGTGTGGCTGAAATGGGACAGTCCGGCTTCTTGAGTACGCACCCCAGGACCACACCACAGGCCCAAGTCTGGAGGATACAATGCGTTTGGGTTCAATCCTCGGTTTTGACAGTGCAGCAGGTAGTTCCCGGCATTTTGAAAAGTCCCACTTCCACTGTTGTAATCCTGCACGAATATAGACAGCCGGTAAAATCCTTTGTACGGGCACATGACGTTACACACCAGCTGCTCTGCTGTGATTTGCGACGCAAGGCAGCGCTTGGCCGCAGTGGCGTCAAGCTCATGGTGCGAGAGCTCGCACACCATCATCAGAGGTCGTGATGTGTGTAGTATCACCTTGCACTCGCCACCCTCACCCACCACTATGGCCTCTTCTCCTGCGACACTGCAACCCTTGACACCTAGTGCCGATGCCCCTGCTGCTATGCCCCAGTTCAGGTAGGGGTTACTAGGCAGGGCCTGCCTCTTCTGGATACTGGGGCACTCCAGTTCAAGAGAGCAAATCCACCGCAGAGCACCAGGTTCACCCTCTCGCCGGGCGAACAGCTTCACTTCATAGGCCCCAGGCTCTGGGGGCAGTAATCGCAACTTCATCCCTTGACGAGTCACTGACATGAGACCACAGGAGCTGTCAACCTCCTGCTGCTTTAGAGCTCCTGTCTGGGGATCCCGCTGCCTCATCTCATACGAAAAGGTCAACAGTCTAGAGGAGCTCACAGACACAATTGCTTCCCCGTCGTCTGCGGAAAACAAATTTTGACACATTTACAAAATGTTACAGTAATATTGTGCCTACGTTCACACTGGAAAATTCTGGCAGTGACAACAACATGTAAATACGGAAGTCAAATCCTTAAATATATGCATGGAGGACCACTCCTGAAATTACAATGGTTGACATAGTAATAACAATCCTTTTTTTTTTTGGCTTCTAGTGGAAGTAAACTAAAAATATGCATGCTTATTAGAATTTCACACTAAAGTGGCCGATCCTACTCCCTTTTTTTTTATTGAGAGTGCAAAACATACAACATGCAGTGAACACAAAACACAAAAACAGCAGTAGAACAGCAATGATAATAATGGCAATGACAATCTGAATAATAGTAGTAGTATTTAAGTAGTACTAGCATGCATAATAATAATAATAATACTAAAGATGGTGATGATAACAATAATACCTTGTGATGACAGTAACAGTAATATCAATAATAATACAAGTAATAATAATAATGATGTAATAACAATAATGTAATAATGACACATACCACACCTATCCTAGCTTCTGTGACAGTGTTCAAGGTTTTTTTTTTTTTTTTTATCCTACTCACTTTAAGATATTACTGATATACCTGGGATATTATGTGGATCTCTGTGACAGCACGACTCTCCATTAATGGTCAAATAAAATGTAGCCATTGGCTGCTGTCAGATTCTTTGTTTAGCCATTCAGAACTCATTCAAGCATGGCAGGAATTTGTAGCATTTTGTAGGGTGCTAAATCAGTGTTCGCTATTTTTCATCTGTCAACAGTGGATTACACAAACAAATGCCCAAAAATGAGCACAGAAAAGGAGCCCGACAAAATCACGATTTCTCCCAATGGGACAGGAAAGCAATTTGTACCGCCCCTCCCTGGAACGCGATCATGATTTCTGGGGGCCCGTGCTAATATACTTTACAGGGGGCCCAGAAACCCCAGTGAGTTGTTTCTGCATTGCACTGTAATACTTTTCATTGGTTTTCAATGTAGGCATATTAGACCAAAGTGTTTGCGAGGTGTCTTGCTGCGGTTTACAGCATCTCATGCATGAGTGTTCAGTGTTTTCCAGGAGTGACACCGCATTTAGCTTCAGTGTGCATGCATCTATTCATTGCCCAATAGGTACCAGCAGAGGCTTTGTTAAGCTTTCTTTGTGGTTCCACTAATGTTTACACTAACTTAATAATCTTGCCTGCATATTCTGCAGTGCATGCTATAGACAGTATTCAGGAAGTTTTAGCTATAGTAACTAATCTTCCCTTTTGAGTTTGTGCATTATTCTATTTTGCATATGTGCAGTTGTGTCACTAGTGTATGTTTTGTGTGTGTGTGTGTGTGTATACCTGTGATTGTTTTGTACTGTTTGGGTTGTGTCAGGGTCAATCCAAACTGATAAAATGCTGAGGTCTTCAAGGGTCTTGTTTCAAACTCTTCTATGGAGATGGGAGTGGTAAGAAGTTGCCAGGTCTTGTCATCAGGGAAATGTGAGTTTATGAACTCACTAGGTTCAGTCAGGAAATAAAAGTCATCAGACCTGAAACAGACAGACATCACCACTGATTTCCCTTATATTTAGTGTGGAATTTTTCATTTCCAGTGTGGATTTTCCAAAGAGTGCAGTATGAGTTCCAATTTCCCTGAAGACTGTAAATTTGCATATATCTGCTAAACCAAACCAACCAGATCTGAGATGAATCACTTAACAAACTTTGATTTTGAAGAAAGTATTTGTAAATCAGAAAAAGATATGTATAAGGCTGTGTAGACTACTTAACGTAATTTATGAGGGGAATGAACTATCTCAAGAAGCATTGCTAATGATGTAACCAAATGAAACGTTATAGTAAAATATAAATGTTGATTCATAGTCATGAGTTATAAGTAAAAAAACAATACATTTTCCTTTTATATATTCATAAATAAGAGTGTTGGGAGACTGACTTGACTCATTCACAGTGCTTCATTAGAATGGGCGGTTGTCTTAATTTGCTGTCTTCATTTGTTTTTCCACAACTCTTTCATTCTTGGATATTTCTTTACAATATGTACTCCACAGTGCCAGCGCCCCAGCAAGCGTCAAGTAGCCACCACTGACCCCCCACGAAGACAGCATTCCACTCATGATCGGAACGCTTCTCAGCTAAACTGTGCCTGGCCTGGTATCCAACGCCTTTGCTGTACCCGCTCACCTCCACACACTCAATGCCCACCTCCCTAGAGAAAGAGAAAGTTCAGAGCCACATTCTACTGGCATGATGTGTGTATATATATACACTTGTGGCCATTTACCTGCACATCTCCACACAGAGTCTGGAATATCCACTACATACACCCTTTCCTGTCCTGATGACCTCATCAGAAGAGCAAATCTTCTGAGAAAGACCAAGGTATCCCTCCAAATCATACTCTAAGCACACAAACACAAGACAATTTGCCGTAGGAAGTACATTCACTAAAATAGTTAAAAGTTATTTGACTTACTAAAAAAATTGTGTAGAAACATTTTCACTCAAAAACAGCTAGTAAATTCCACAAACTACAAAAAATGACAAGTAACGCACTGAATTGTGACAATCTGAAGTAGAAAGACGTAATATTTTCTTGTAAAACATACAAGTTTTATTCACAACTTCATTTCTAACAGTGCATGCATTTTTGTGTGTGCAATTACCAATATTATGACATAGCCAGGTCCATATGGCCCTGAGTTTTTCCACATCATTTCTTCCCCTCTCTGTGACTGCACAAGCAATCTTCTGAGCATCAAATACTTCCTGCTCCCTCAAATGAAAAACACATGTTCATGCCTAAATCTATTGTTTATAACAGGGCTGTCCAATCTTGCTCTTGGAGGGCCACTGTCCTGCAGAATTTAGCTCCAGTCCCAATTAAACACACCTGAACCCAGGTAACCAAAGTCTTCAGGATCACTAGAATCTACCTGGCAGCTATTTTGTGACAAGTAGGTATTCTAATTTGTTGAGATAGTGAATTGGTGGGTTTTTAAATGTGAGCCAAAATCATCAAAATTAAAAGAACCAAAGACTTAAACTACTTCAGTCTGTGTGCATTGAATTTATTTAATACATGAGTTTCACAATTTGAGTTGAATTACTGAAATAAATGCACTTTTCCACGACATTCTAATTTATTGAGACGCACCTGTATCTATATCTCATGTCGACAGAACATAAAAGACCAGGGCTGCGTTCAGCCCCGACAAAAACGGTGCAAAACGTTTTTTAAACGG